TAAAATGAAATTTGTCCTGTTTTCCATCATGATACAGAAAACAGCACTTAAACTAACTAAGAGATACGATAGAACAAACTAAAATACCTTCGAAAATGAGACAGCAAAGGCAGTTCTCTTAATTTGACTTTTCATTGTATACAACGGGTACTCTACTATTGCTGCTGCTGCTCTTCAATGTGGCCGGCCAAGTATTCTATCAAACTGCCATTCATTACAAGTGTATAATTTTCTACCTTCAGAAAACACGCTTATCCTTAAAGAAGGCTACGAGTAAATACTAGACTCTTCGTTGATCCAAGCGGCTATTACTATTGTCTGTCCATTATTCAGTGGACTCGGATATTTTTTGAATAACCCAGCAAAACAAAGATATATACAAATGTTGCTGTGATGATGAGGAATCGAACGGTGTCATTTTTATTGCAAACAAACCGAGTGTTCATTGTTATCTACATCACACAGTAAACTGAATGGGTTGCTATGAATAAAAACTGTTCTCGAATATGGCAGTTCAGCTATTTTTTGTTTCTTATTATGGCAGCTCCATTCAACTACAGGACGTTTTTCTTTATCATCCGAAAAGTCGTTCTGGTTGCTATCCAAAGTACAAAGTCGATATTACCCTAGTGGAAGCACTTATCCGATGAGTACGACTTTACTCATAATTCATCCATGAGTACTCATATTAGTTCTACTAACAATTTCTGAGTATGTGATACTCAGTGAGTACTCAGAAAATAACTTGGACTACGCCAAAAGTTATATGAGTACTCATATGACGTAGTTATATTTTGCCAAAAGTTATAGAAATACTCAACAATACCCAAGTCAAGTATGACTACTCAAAGCCATACTCACAGTACTCGTTATTCACTCACGAGCACTCATGTAAGTACTTAGTAAGTAAAAAATGTATAAGTACTCATGAGTACTCGGGACATTTTTCAGCAGAGTAACGAGATCTTGGGTACAAGATTCACTCACCGAAGATCTTCATTAAGATCTTGGTACAAGAAGTCAAGCAGTTTCAAGATGTTCAAGATATGGACGTCTTGAAATCTCTTAAATTTTTACATTTTCTGATCAGGATCGAATTTTCCTGTATTGTCTACTGGTAAAAGAACGGAAAAGTCGCCGGCCTCATTTTCCCTATTTTCTCTCATTCTATTAATAGTCATGTAACATAGGCATAGTTTATCATACAGTTTTATTAGAAAAAGTGATACAAAAGTTCTAAAAAGACTGAGTTGCCCTCGGCCGTTCATGAAGACTGATTAGGGTAAGCGAGGTGTAGAAATATGAATAGAACGAAAAAAAATACGACTGCCGTCTTTTTCGTTCTTATACTATTTAAAACATAGAACTTAATCACTTTTGACTCCTGACTTGTCCATTCATCATTAATGGTACGTATGAACATTGCTTCGTCCAAATTGAATAATTGTAGAAAGTTCGATTATTTATCGCATCTCTTTGCTAGGTTTTCAAATTGCTGATAAAGGAAGCATTTCAGGGTGTGTTGTGATGTGTCTAAAACTGATCTGAACACTTTAAGCGGTATTTTCTGAATGGCTGTTAATATTCATAAGCTGTCCCACAATGATTGATAGTTAAAGAAATGGGCATAGTGTGCGATCCTTTTTCAATACATCAGTTATGAATCACGATAAGAAATATTTTCATCTACAATTCATGTGGTCTCTTGGAGCTGAAAATATTGTTCGAGACAAAGCTATACTTATATTTTTCAAAGAGCTTTGAACTGGCAGCAGGAAAGTTTCTCCGAATATTTTCTATTACATGAAAGAACTATCAGAAAACACTTCAGCTGTAATTCCTTGATTTGCCCTGACAGAGATTGGTTTTTGAGATTTTCAAGCTTTTTATGTAAAATTTTGAGATCGAACGGCGAAGATACCCTAGATCAATCTTATAGAATATCTACAAGACTCTTATAAGATTCTCATATAAGGCAGTCGATGGAAATGCGTAAGATATTGATAAGAATCTTATATAAGGAACTGATAAGATTTTTATAAGATTCACATAAGAATCTTATAGGAAGGATACAGTCACATTCTTTAGTGATCAGACTCTGTATTGTACTGTTTCATACATGAATAAAATAAGTTTCTTTCCACTTATTTAATTTTTTTCTATAAGAAGACCTTAGTCCCATACGGACGGTCTCATGGCTTGTCCTCACTGTCCACTGCTTCTAGACCGAATTTAGTTCGAAGTTAATGTCATATTTTTCCCGTTACATGTCATGATCACAAGAAATTTTGAATAAAGGAAAGTCCGTGGTTTTTTCTGATGTCACGATAAAGCCATTCCATTCAACCTTAAAGAAGTGGAAGCCAACGAGAAAAGTGTGACATACCGAAAAAACAACATTTTTACACATGCATATCGATCGCGCTGAGATGAAAAAATGTCCGCACATGAGATATCTTATGTGAAAAGAGATATCCGTATTTGCGAGATTTCTGTTCTTTTTAGACTAACTGTTAGAGCTCGGTTTCTTTTATCAAATATAAGGTCGTCTAACAACGGTGAAAGAATGGATTTCAAGAAAATTTGTTTGCAGTTGTTATGAGTTGTTTATCAAGATGATCTACTTCGTTTTGCCGATTTTTTGGTCAGATTACTTTTAATCTAGCATATAATGATATACTTCTAGGAAATATCAACGTTAGAATCAAGTCTACCAAATGAATTGTATGACTTTATTTTTCTTTATTTAAAAGCAATTGATATTATTTATTCATTTTTCAATTTAAATGGTCGTTTTAATAATCTTATTTATCCATTTTTATGCGCAGTAGATCTATCCAATGTCGATGAACGTACCTTGAACAAGTGTTGTCAAACAATTTTACCAAAAATTCATCATTATATCAAAGCAATTAAAGTTGATGATAAAAATATTGACTCGATTTTTCCCTTATCATTATATTCTAAAATATATCCGAATCTTGAATCAGTTTTTATAACGAAAGTTAAAATCGATGGTAAATATTTATCATATTTAAAACTATTTAAACAATTACTTAATTTAAAAATTTATTTTGATACAGAAGAAATTAATAAAACTGTATCAAACGAATTATGTTTAAATCTGTTTCAATCTGCTTGTCGACTAGAAACATTATTTTTTGATCAAATTTACGTACCCATCAATACTCATTTCATTCAACTATGTTTTTCTGTTAGAAAGTTAACAATAAAAGTACTTTATTTCCATCATATATATATTCTGTTAAACAAATTACCTTCAATCGAATCTGTAAATATTGCGATGCCGTGTGTTGCTAGCCACAGACAGCAGCAGTTACTACTACTAGAAAAGTACATTGAATTTAATTACAATCAAAATATTCCTTCGACATTATCAAAATTAAAACATTTTGTGTTCTACGCTGTTTTTAATGCTAATTATGATTATTTAGAATTGTTATTGTCTCATTGTTGCCCTAATGTAGAATACTTATCATTGAAAGTATATATTAATCAATTTATTGATGGCGAACGTTTAGAAAAAATGTTATTATCAAAACTAACAAAACTGAAAGTATTTCATTTCTGTTTTCGTATTCCAGTTGTTGATAGTACATTGAACATAGACGATTATATTCAAACATACAAATCGTCTTATTGGATTGATAATAATCATTCGATTTTATGTTTTAATCAACCGTTGCATCGTCGATATTGTGTATTTTCATTACCCTTTATGTTTGATAAATTTTGTTTTGTTTCCAATGATCTAGTTAATTATCGATCAAATGTCAACGATGATATTTTGTTATACAGTAAACAAAACAAAGCAGATATGATTAGTTTCTCTGATGATACAGTTCCGTATACATTCGAATTATTTCAGATTATCCAAAAATCATTTCCAAGAGCAACAGAACTAATGTTTGAGGCAGCTCATGTTCGTTGTTTAAGTGATAATATACTGCATAATGAACTGGTGATGGAAAACATCGTCACCGTGACGTATATGTTCAAGCAATTAGAATTTAAATATTTCAGACGACTATTATTACTGACACCAAACATTCAAACGTTATACATACTAGAGAGTTTAGTGTTAGATGTATTGAGAAAATCAGAAGACTCTTCTTTTCAACAATTACAATCAGCATGTAGTCGTATCAGATGTGTCGGTATTGGCAAACCCTCATTTGAATACGATGCTGTAAACGACTATAGTGTAAAAGTATTATTTCCAAATGCTGAACTTTTTGGAGAATGGAGATAAACGTCATAATAAATACTTTAATATTAATTTTCTGCACGTTGAATCTTATTTGATCGTCTTGTTTATATTTCTGTTCATCCACTGCCTATGTTCATCAGTTATTTTCTCTTATCATTAGCGGCAACGAGAGGGATTGGAAAGTTATTCGTGTGTCACTTGGGACATTTTCTTCTATCTAAAAAGCACTGCTAAGACACACAGCTATATTCAAATATTTCAAACCATTCAGATAGTTCAAATTTATATTTATTTAAATTTGTATTTATTTAACGATTTATATCATAATCATGTCCACAGAAGACTCACTATCTACTTCTGCTAAATCTGAATCTATGTCTGGTGGATTTACATGTACACCTGACCAATTAAAAGCAATGTTTATTTCAACCTTACAGAATGACTCAGAAAATTTTCACATAAATTCTATACTTTTAGAAAAATAACTTTTCTCTCTTACATCTAATACATACGAGGAAAAAGTTCTAATGCACATCCAGACAAGCTATTTTTTTTTAAAATATACTATTTATCCGAGACGGGATATAAGTCTGTTTAAATGGCAGAGATTTAATTAATTGTAAATAGAAGTAAGAAACCGTTTCTAACAGACTTACTTATTTCGACATGAGAAGATGACCAACATAAAACGTTTACTTCCTTTCTTTTAGCAGTATATGTGTAACTATAACACAGAATTGTTTTGAAAATATTCGACGAAAACATATGAAGTCGAAATAGATTTGGCTGGAGATTTTTTGCAGACGAGTTGAAGAAAAATCTTTTTTGCAAGTTACTTATTAGCATAAGGACATGACTAATTCGAAAATATCTCTTGTCAGGTCTTTT